TCTACAACAATACGAATTAAATTTTAATTATCTATTTGTAAAAATATTTATTTAAATAATTATTCTATTTGTAAAAAGACGCGTAAGCTCTTTTAAATTAAAACAGCTTACGCGTAATTTTACAAATAGAACATGCAATGTAAGAAAAGAGCGTCTACTGACGATTTAAGTCTACTGACAAAAATTGCCTTTCCATTTCAAAGTCGTTGCTTTCTTACGGTTGATTTGGAATACCTTGCTCTGATGATGTTCCACCTTCTCCCTATTCGTTTTGGCTCTTCCTTTTGGGTTTCGTTACTTCTCTCGCGTCGCAGGCAATCTGTGTTACTTCACCGTTTTGACTTTTGGTTTCTTCTTTGTAAAGTTCTAACACCTCTGACTTTTTTTGCTTCGGTTATTCAGGTGAAACTTTAACAGGTAAAGTATCTTCTGTTCCTTCTGCACTTTTTAAAATATATATCGATGGGTATATAATGAACCAACCCGTGGATTTTTTTTTTTAGTATTTTTGTTCATTTTTCAAAGAACAACCTTTGATAACAATCTCAGTTTTTAAAAATGAAGAAATTAATGTGCTATTGTGAATAGCGAACTCAAAATACTAATGCGCATAATGCCGGGTAACTCCCCATACATTTGCCAAAAGGTCATTTTCAGATAAAGCAGCCAAGAAATCATTTACTCTAACATTTAGATCGCAGTATCTGCAGCATAAAACATAACTATTTTCTTCTACCTGCTTTGAGTTAAAGATAACGAGTTTAGTTTTCTCACCGAAGTTGATTTCAATGAAGAAAGAGCACAAGCATAACGCTTAGCCATTAAAAAAAATTTCAATTTTCAATAAATCAATATAAAAATAAAAAATACCCACAAGCAAGACTTCTAAAAAGTTTTAGTATCTGTTTTTTTACGTTTTGAGTGTACTTTTACATTGTAAAAATATTTACCGTAGGTGGTTAAAAAAAAATAATGGTCGATGCATGTTCGCTTTAACAGTTCCTTTTTTAAATATATAGCATTGACAAAAATATAAATATACAAGTAAAACAAAATGCTATGATATAAATTTATAAGAACTCAGATTCTTGATTCTAGAGCATCTATCATAAAATCGACTCCGATTTCAAAATCATTTTTTCTAGTCCACGGTGTTCTTGAACCTCTTAAGCAAAGGATAGTTGAGCAAAGTATTCAAAAGATAACTTCGTTCTTAACTACGTCATAACAACTGAGTATTTTTCACTTTGTTTTTCCGCTTGTTTCTCCGCCAGCCTTCTAACAAACCGATGACATTCTTTACTCATACCTTCATTCGTACCTAACACTAGTGGTGTTAAACTGCCATGTTCGACTTACTCGAAACACTAGTGGTGTTAAACTTGTTCGCCATACTCTCTTTTTTTTTTTTTTCTTTTTCGTGTTTTCTATTCAGAAAACATTATAACTTATTATTAGCTATAATATAATTAGCTATAACTTGAACTATTCAGTTCAAGTTATAGCTTTTAAAATAAACAAGAAGCACAAAATGAACAAGAAGCTGCAGTAGAAAAGGGTTATTGATGTTTAATAGCCTGATCGAGTTTAAAACCTTTTGTTTTAAAAGACGTTGTTATGGCGTTGCTGTGGACTTCTCAATCTACTATGGCGACAAAACACATAATTGTACACACTTCCTTATTTATTTATTAAAAAAAAAAATCATAAACTTGTTCTATGAAAAATTTTGAACTTAAAAAATCTTTTTTTAAAAAGTTAATTTTTTCTAAAAAGTGTCAAAATTAATGGGAATGTAACAATCTTATTATTGTTTATCATAAAAATTTAATGTTTTTTTGTTTTTTATTTAAGAAAAAATTTTGGAAATATTTAATACATAACTAGTAATTAACTGGTCAAGGAAGATCAATATTGTAAACTAAAACAAAGAACCATATTGATGAGCCGTTCTGCATTTAATTTTTAAAAAACGGCTGTTTTCATACTAACAATTTATTAAAAACATCTTGATATATTGATATATAATGATATATTATATAAACTAGATGTCTAACTTTGATCCGAAAAGTGAAGCCGCTTTTGCCCATTTTACAAATGGGGGATTAAATTTATAAACAATTATTGCTTAATTTTTTTTTTTTCTTAAATGAAGTAAATACATTTTAAATAAAATACTATTTATGTTAAAGTGTTAAGAGGAAATTAGACACTTGTAAAATAATAATTTATGGTTCCTAAATTAGTTTTCGATTAGAAAGGGATTAAAGTTTTGAATAGAAAAGTGATTTAAATGGAAACATTGTTATTAAGTCATACGATAGTATAAAGAATACTCTATTTAAAGTTCTTAATTGTTCAATAAGTCAAGGAATTTTTCCGGCCCAAATGAAGGTTGCAAAAGTGACCCCTATATATAAAGGTGGTGAACTAACAAATGTTGGGAATTATCGTCCAATTTCAGTTTTGTCAGTTTTTCCCAAAATTCTTGAAAGAATTTTATTTGATTGAATTTTTAATCATCTCTCTGAAAATAATATACTTTACAACAATCAGTACGGTTTCAAAAAAAGTAACTCTACAGAACACGCAGTACTACAACTCACAAGAATTATTACTGACTCCTTCGAAAAATCACAATTTACTTTAGGTATTTTTATAGACCAAATTAATTTTTAATGACATGAATGTAGAACTAAAGAAAATATCTGACTGGTTTAAATCAAATAAGTTTTCACTTAATATTGAAAAAACTAAGTGGATTCTTTTTCATTCAGCTTATAAAAAACATATACTACCAAGTGAAATGCCGCCGCTTTTCATTGATAAAATTAATCTAAAAAGAGTAACTTATACTAAATTTTTAGGTATTATTGTGATGAAAATCTTTCATGGAAAAACCACATTGGAAATCTAAATAAAATTGCAAAAAGTATTGGGATTCTATATAAAACAAGAAGCATTTTAAATAAACATACTTTAATTCAACTATATTACTCATAATTCACTGCCATATTAACTATGCTAATATTGCCTGGGGTAGTACCAACAAATTTAAGTTAAAATCTTTGTTTTGTCAAAAGAAGCATTTAGCACGTCTTATTAATTTTAAAGATCGTTTTACTCATGCCAGGCCTTTATTATTAAACACATGAATATTCTTTATATTTACGAAGCAAATATATTTAACGTTCTTTGTTTTATGTTTAAATGCAAAATTAATACTTGTCCTGTTTCTTTTCATAAGTTATATTCAATGAAAAAAATAAATAAATATATATAAAGAAATAATAAACATATCCAACAACCAATTTTTCAATCAAATATAGGCAATTCTTGCATTCAATACCGTGGAGCCTTTTTATGGAACAAAATAGTTTTAAAGCATTTTGATTTTTCGCATAATTGGAATTATTTTTCTTTTAAAAGAAAACTAAAAGAAGTAATTTTTTCAATTGATAACATATCTTTATATTTTTAAATTATTACCTATTCCACAAATAATTAAGGAATTGTAATCTGAACGACAGTATTTTTTAGATTACATATTACATATTATATATTGACATTACATATATACTGATAAAAACTGATGTAATTTTTCAAGTTTTTGTTTGCTTTTTTTGTTTGTTTGTTTGTTTTTGCATAATATTAAATAATGAGAAATATTATACATATATTCACAAATATTATTAAATATTGTTAAAACTTACTTAACATCTAAAGAGTATTATAATATATAAACGCATTTAAAAATTGTTTTAAATATTTGTAAATTTTTGTATTTTGACTCTTAATATAGATTGTAAAGGGCTTCATGATAAGATCGTGTGATCTTCTGGAAGTCCAACCAGTAATATATTCAATGTAAATTTACCTTGTACATATTATTCTGGAAGAAAAAAAAAAAAGTGAAACGACAGACGCTTTTGAAGCATTTTTATGAATTATAATACTTTTTAACAAACATAAGCTCATAATAAAACTTTTATAAGTATTTTATAATTATTACAATGTGTTTTTGAATTATCTTTACTTTATTGGGAATTTTTAACATGCAATTTTAACTTTTATTCGACTCATCGGCTTCAGTTTTTTTCCTATTTACAAATGCCTGACTATATTTATTAACAAAAAAAAGCGGCTTTATTTTTCGTCTAATAAAATCCCGCAAGTTAGACATCTAGTTTATATGATATATCATTTATTTGAATAGAACGTTTCAGAACTTTGTAAGAAACTAAAGAGCGATAAATCAGATGTTAGCAGATTTGTTTATTATATTCTATATTGTTTATTATTAAATTGTGTTTACGATATATTTTAGTAAAGTTCTTTGATATATTGGCGCTTTCTGTTTTATGAATAAAATTATCCGGGCTAATACAGTTTTCCGGATATGTCTGAAATTAGTCCGGTTAGACAGGAAAAAATAGATTAAACTATTTTTTTTTTTTTTTTTTAATATAAAAACCGAAGATTTTTATTTTAAATACAAAAATTCGATAAAAAAAAAAAAAAAAAATCGATGTCTTGTGAAAAAACCAATTCAATATACTAAATCTTTTTAAGTGGCGTCGCTAGGAGGTGCGGACCGCTCCAGGTGCCACCATCACGATCTAGCACAGAGGACACCAAAATGAATAATAATTAAATAACTTAATAAGCAATAACTTTCAATAAACCAATACATTCAAAATGTATACATATACATATAGGTATATATATATATAGGTATATATATATATATATATATATATATATATATATATATATATATATATATATATATATATATATATATATATATATATATATATATATATATATATATATATATATATATGTATATATATATATATATATATATATATATATATATATATATATATATATATATATATATATATATATACATAGGTATATATACATATACATATAGGTATATACATATATAATGTATATATACAAAGTATATACATATATTTTTTAAATGGACATTCTGTACTTTGCATAAATTTCGATTCCTTTATACTTTAAATCACGCTAAAATATGTTTGTTATTAAACCAAATAATAATTTAGTTTTCTTTGATTGGTAAGATTGTTAAATTATCTTCACTCCGTCTAAAAAGTAACTTCATAATTTGCAATCTTTTACTTTTAAAATAGTGGTTCAGTAAACTATCTTTCCAATAATAAATAACAGGATTTACTAAAGCAGAACATTTTCCAAAAAATGCAGCAAAGTGAAGTAGCCAATTTGGAATTACAAGTGACGTAAAAGCGGAAAAACAACCAACTGTTGCGTAGGGTGTCCAACAAACTATAAAAGATAACACCATTAGTAAAAATGATGAAAATGCTTTCTTTTCCTTTACTTTATATTTTTTTGTTTCCACATTATTTTTACCATATATCATATAAAAGTAGTTGTATTGTGAGCGCATTACGTTGGCTGTATATAAACATGAAGTTATAATTGTTATGATGGGAATTAAAAATCCAAACGCAATCAATAAGATCAAATAAACCTTCTCAGTTTTAGTTTTAGGAAAAAAATCAATTGAGCATCGAGAATTTGTATTTTCAAGTGTGTAGGAAGAAAATCCCAAAAAAGGCATAGTAGCCCACGTAAAACCATATATCCACGAGAGTAATCCGATTTTTATGAATAGTGTTTTGTAATTAACTTGACTGTGAAGAAAACATGTACTTAGTAGTACCATTCTTGAAAGAGCTATTGCAGTGAGCATTGCAATTGTAGTAAATGAAGAAAAAGCTATAAAAAAGGCGGATAATTTACACAATGTTGAAGCTCTATTTAAATTTGTTTCAAGAAAAAGTGCAGGTATATACCCTGCAATGCTTCGTAATAAATCACTAAATGATAAATTGATACACAGTATAACGTAGTTGTTTTTGTGTTTTCTGTATAGGAAATACAAAGAAATTGCATTTGTAATAGTAGCGGTCGAAGAAATTACCAATAAAGCTGTTTTCACTGCGTTCATTATTACTAAAAAAATCTAAAAGTTTATTCTACGATTACTTTAAAATCAAAAAGAAACAACATGGTGTGTTTTTCAATAAAAATTTAAGGCTTTATCTTTGCTTTTAAAGGTCACTATTGTTTTAACAAAACTGTTTATTTCCAATTAAACATCAATCAGCTGATAATCAACCTCACCTATATATATATATATATATATATATATATATATATATATATATATATATATATATATATATATATATATATATATATATATATATATATATATATATATATATATATATATATATATATATATATATATATATATATATATATATATATATATATATATATATATATATATATATATATATATATATATATATATATATATATATATATATATATATATATATATATATATATATATATATATATATATATATATATATATATATATATATATATATATATATATATATATATATATATATATATATATATATATATATATATATATATATATATATATATATATATATATATATATATATATATATATATATATATATATATATATATATATATATATATATATATATATATATGAATATATATATATATATATATATATATATATATATATATATATATATATATATATATATATATATATATATATATATATATATATATATATATATATATATATATATATATATATATATATATATATATATATATATATATATATACTAGTTTTTACGTCATTAAACTAAAATTGTGTTTTAGAATTATTCTAAAACACAACTTTAATTTAAAAAACCTTATTCAAAGAATAAGATTTTTGTTTTCATTTGGTATTTTTTTGTCAAAGAAAAGTAATTTAAATTTTGATTGTGAGTTTGTGGGTGGAGGGTATTTTTTGTAATTACGCTATTGATTATATACATATGTAAATTCGGGTATAATTGTTTGTATATGTATAAAATGTTTTATTTATTTTGATATAATTTATTATTTATGCACTTTTAGGCTGCTAAATACAATTTTTTGATAATTATTTTATCTCACGCTATGTAATTAAAAATTCGATCTTTAATTTCTCAAAAACGTCAAGAGGAAAACCTTGAAGGCGGTGTATATGATTTGATATGAGTCAAATTATTCTTGCATATGAGTGACATAGAAGTATTGACCAGTACTCAAAAACCTTTTAACCACTGTTTACTGTCTTTTTAAATTTGATTAAAAGTACGAATATAAAATAAAATAAAAATTTGTTAATTTAGTCAAGTGAAAATCAAAAAAATTTAATTAAAACAATATTTAAAGATAAAATAGATAAAAAATTTTAAAAATGAAATTTTAAAATTCTATTTCACGATAAAACTGATCAAGCGTAAAACATTTAAAAAATAAAATGTGAGAAAAACCTGTTTCGTTATATTAACATAACATTTCAACAGCAAAATTCAATGAATAAATCATAATAGTTAAAACGTTCGTCGTTGAAATGTTTTTGAATTCTTAATTATTATTATACTTTAAAAAAATGTAAAAATTACGTCATAAAATATCATAAAACGAAACTCAATTTTAAAGCAAAATATGTAAAACTACTTTCGCTTACCGTTTTATGAATTGTTTATAAGTAAATAACTATACTATACTATATATATATATATATATATATATATATATATATATATATATATATATATATATATATATATATATATATATATATATATATATATATATATATATATATATATATATATATATATATTTGATTTTGATTTTATTTTGTTGTTTAAAAATAGTTATAATGACCAGATAATATAGTTACAATTATATGTATATATGTATAATTACAATAACCATAAGAGTATATATATATATATATATATATATATATATATATATATATACATTTACATTTGGCAGCAACAACGGCAGGACTTCTAGAAAATCACGAGAATCTTATCATGAACATTTACATTTTTTCTATATAATTTGAATTAAAAATAAACTGTTCGTAATGAAATAATATATCTTTTTATAAAAAAAACAACTTAGTAATTATAAGTCTAAAATAGTCTAAAAACAATATACAAAAATATTTAAAAATAGATGAGAATATTTTCTAATAAAAGGATAATCTTTTTAAGTTTCTGTTTAAATGAAGCATAAGTCATTTTAATAGAAAAATCAAAATTTGGTAAAACTATTTTGTTCCAGAGATAAGGTCCTCGATAAGAAACAAAAAATTGGTCTTTTTTTTGATGGCAAAAGGGGACAATAAGATTGTTATTAGTGCGAAGATTATATTTGTTTTTCGGTTTCAAATTATAAACATTTTAAAATAAAGGTGGTGACAGATTTTCTCTACATTTAAACATAACCACAAAATATTAAAAACATTTAGTTGGTACACATTCAAAATTTTCATTTCTTTAAAAAGTTGTTTTGTGTGAGAAAACCGATTTTTAAAATTTATTACGCAAACTGCGTGTTTCTGACGAAGGTAAAGAGATTAAAGCTTTGTCTTATGGGTGCTTCCCCATATACTATTTGCATAGTTTATATGACAATGAATAAATGAATAAAACAATTGTGTTAACTGATGTTTGCTTAATATATTTCTTGCTTTATAAAGAATTCCGATGCATTTTGCAATTTTTGTGGTAGTAGCATCGATATGATACCTCTAGGACAAGTTTTCGTCAATATATTCCAAGAAACTTTGTAACCTTTTCCCTTTTTAAAGTAATATTGTCGATTAAAAGATCTGGCATGGTATGTGGAAGTTTTTGTTTTTTAGAAGGCGGAAAAAAAAGTGTCAATTTCGTTTTTTCAATGTTGAGGGACAATCTACTTTGTTTAAACCAAACAGAAACTTTTTTTAATTCATTTGTCGTATCAGTAAATAGTATATTAATATTTTCATGAGACAAAAATAAATTTGTATCATCTGCAAAATTTATTGTTGTTAGGTTTGAAGATTTATGAAGATCGTTTATGTATATTAAAAAAAAGAGAGGACCAAGTATGGATCCTTGCGGAACTCCACATGATATATTCATAAATGCACGAGATGTGGAATCTTTATTGAAGACAAATTGTTTACGGTTCGTAAGGTAACTTTTGAACCAAAGCAGAGTTTTATCTTTAATACCATAAGACAAAAGTTTTTTTAATAGGATTTGGTGATCACGGTATAAAATGCTTTGGACAAGTCAATAAAAACCCCTAATGTAAAACGAGAGTCTTTGAATGAATCTGCAATGTTGCGCGTAAGTTGAAGCATGTTCGGTTGAATTATTTTTTTTAAAGCCAAATTGATTTTCATGCAGTATTTTATTTTCAATAAGATAAGAGTAGACTCGATTAAACATTATTTTTTCTAATATTTTTGAAAAAACTGGAAGAACCGAGATAGGGCGACAATTAGTTATATTTGTACGATCGCCGGTCTTGAAGATTGGAGTTATTTTTGCTATTTTTATTTTATCTGGAAAGGACCCTTGTGTGATGGACACTCTGAAGATTTTAAAAAGAACATTTTTTATAACATCGTAGGAGTCTATTTGCGTATTTGCGTTAAGTTCATCGTATTCAGTTGCTTTATTTCGTTTTAATGACTTGAAAGCAACTTCAAATTCATCAAAAGTTAACTCAGTATTATTTAGAGTTGAGCTTAATAGAGTTTCATATTTATCAATAGCTTTTTTTTTAATGTATGGTATATTGTTGCATAATTTTGTTCCGATCGTTGTAAAAATTTGTTTAATTCGAATGCAAATTTGTTTGGATCATTAAATAACTTGTTTTCAATTTTTATTATATCTGGCAGTGAATTTGTACTTGTTTTATGTTTTCCAGTCACCTCTTTCATGACTTGCCAGACCCTTTTTGAGTTATGTTTGTATTTATTTAGCAAGTTTGAGTAGTAATTTTTTTTTGAATTTTTACGAAGCTTTTCAAATAAGTTTTTACAATTTAAGTAATTTTGTGTTTTTCTGATTTTGATTTTAGGTATTTAACATATAACTTCTGTTTAATTTTTGAGGATTTTATGAGACCCTTTGTAATCCAATGAAATGATATCTTTTTGGCTTTTAAGACTATTTCACGTAAAGGAAAATTTGAATCATAAACTGCATAAAAAGTTTTAAAAAATTGATCATAGATTATGATAATATCATTATTAAAATTAATGTAGTTCCAGTTTATAAGTGATAACTGCTCTCTAAAGGATTTCAAGTTATTAATATTGAAAAGCCGTTTTTTTATTGAGATTTTTACATGGTTCTCTTTTTTTACGTTTAATTCTAATGACAAAAATATAGGGAAATGATCGGAAAAATCTGTTTTTATTATACCCTTTTTAAACGCCTTATTAAAAAAGTCAGTAGTAAAGATGTTGTCAATTAATGATGATAAATGGTTTGTGATTCTGGTCGGTCGATTAATTAATGGTATAGTTCCAGTTTCGAACAGATCGTTAAAAAATTTTCTAGTATTTTGATTTTCATAATATTCGAAGGAGTTTATGTTAAAATCTCCTATCAAGTAATACTTTTTCTTTTCAAGATCGCTTTTCATTATTATATTTTTGAGTATAAAGTTACAAAGGTTTTCAGTTCTTCCAGCAGGTGGCCTGTAGCAACAGCTTATGAGCATATTTTTTGAACGCTTATTGATAAGTTCTATTGTTAAAATCTCGTTGTTTTCGTCAGAAACGCACTTTTTGCTTCTAATATTATAAACAAGATTATTTTTAACAAAAAATAAAACTCCTCCACCTCGTTAATTAGTATTTCATTCTAAAATTATTGGATCAAAACCTGGAAGATGGAGGTTTGAGTTATTTTCAAAATCTGCTTGCAAACACCAGGTCTTAGTTAAACAAACTAAGTTGAAAGAATTTTTGCGTTTCACAAATAAAATTTAAATGTATATATATATATATATATATATATATATATATATATATATATATATATATATATATATATATATATATATATATATATACATATATATATATATATATATATATATATATATATATATATATATATATATATATATATATATATATATATATATATATATATATATATATATATATATATATACACTTTGTTGTTGTTGAAAAAAATTGAAAAATACGATTAATATTAAACTATATATTCAAAAAATAAATCCGGTTCAACTCTCTTTCTGTTCGCCGATATCATATACAAGATAAAAAGGCCAATAATATTAAAAAATAGATCAAAACTCTAGTAAAATAAAAACTGTCTGCTCTATTTCAACTAATAAAAGCGTATATTTAAAATTTAAATATATGCTTTTATAACTTGGAAAGAAAGAAGATATTTAAATTTCAAATATCTATTTTTTTAAAAACTGTTTTTTAGAAATGTCAAGATTTTTAAACACAAATTAACACAATTAATCTTATATAAAATATAATAATTTTTTTTTGCAAAAAATTTTTCAACAATTTATTCAACTGGATTATTTTTATTGCTCACAACTTATTCAGAAAGGAAACCTAAAATAAGCTTTTAATGAGTTAATGAATATTCGATATTAATATAAGTAAATATTTATTACTCCCTAGTTCAACATAAATGCTTTAATATGTATGCTCGGTACGGCCCTATCTAATAAGCAATATTGTTGATGTTTGGCTTTTTTTTTAAAATGTTGCAATAGTTATTTTCGTACAACTTTTATAATGACTGTTATCAGTATCGGAATAAGCACACGAGGGGCCTGAGGCCAATAATTCTGCGGGGCCCTTATAAAGTAAATTAGTTTAACACCTGGACGTTGCTATATTTGTCGTTATTTTTATCCATGGTGTATCGTATATTTTAGACTAAATTATTATAGAAAATTCCAAAATTAAGTTCTTATGTTTCCTTTGACATCAATTTTCTCGCTTTCTTTATAGAAAATGTTTCTAACTCTTCATCTATATTCAAAATTTCACGCTCAATTGACATCAATGACAGATTATTTAATCTAATATGTGTCATTGTTGATCTCAGTTCATTCTTGATTCTACTCAGTTTAGAAAAACTTTTTACTCCTGTACAATTGGACACCATCAGACTCAAATAAATACGAAATGTAATTTTGACATTAAGAAAAGCTTACTTCAGTCCATGGTCTATTATCAACTTGTAAATTAATCTTTATAAATCTTTATTTTTACTTAACATCATGCTTTACTTAACATCATGCTCCTCAAATAGGCTGAGTTCTGCTCGGAGTAATTCTATAAAATTCTTCAAGGAATGCAATAGAAATGCAGCTGTATTTACATATTAAACTCTGCAGAAGCTTGCTAGTTGTGTTCATTGCCCACTTTCATACGGGAAGGTCTGGGAACGAATAATTGAGCTGTAGGGACAAAAAATATTATTGCGTTTGTTTACATATATATTAGTTTAAAGTAGAGCGATATAAAGTTTAAAGTAAAGCGATATAAAATTTAAAGTAAAGTGATATAAAGTTTAAAAAGTAATATAAAGTTAACTATTAATTTACTACTACTGTTTTAAAAGTATATTTGTAAATGGAGCTAAGTATTAATGTTGTAAACATTTCAACAGCTTCAAGAAAGATTTGTGTTGAATGGCTTGTAAACCACGGACTTGGTGTCACAGGCTCTGTTAAAGAATTGCAAGCAAGAATTTTGCAGTTCTTACCATATCCAAAATTAGTTGAAAAACTTTATCGAAAAGCAAAAAAAAAATTCTTGTTCTTAACAAGTTTGCATGTAGACGAGATACCACCCATATCTCAAAATTGGACTGACAATGAAAACCTCTACCCTTATGTAAACTCTAAGCTTTTTAAAGAATACATTCTCAATAAAAGAGAGGGTACATTTGGACAACAGCAAAAAGCATACCAGATGTTAACAAGCAGAAGAATTATATCTGTTTAAACGCATTCAGATACCGATAGGGTATATGTAAGAGCTTTTATAAGAAAATCTTATGGCTACGATGTACGTCCTGCTATTTTACTTTTTGTAGGAGGAACACCCCTAAAGGGTTATTGCGAATGTCTTGTTGGTCTTAGTGGACTTTGCTGTCATGTTATAGCTATCCTTCTTTACCTAAAGCATTATGTGGACACAAAGACAACAATTTTAGAATTAACGTGTACACAAGTCATACAGAAATCGTATATTAAAGAACTTGTTGAAACATCAATTCCTTTATTAAAATTGGTTTAAATATTTAAAAATATTTTATGATAAAAATAAATAAGATAATATTATATGCTTATATATATTCGCAAAATATTATTTATTACAAAATTCTTCCTTTGGCCCAATAGGGCGCATTGTAAGGTTTACAACATGACATAACATTTTCTATCTTGAAGAAAGTAAGTCCATTCTTTGTAAAGGCCACACAGCATTAAGAATTGACCAATCACGTACGCGTCCTATGAATCTCTCTACATGAATACGGGTAGAAGCTATATCAAAATTACCAGCTATGTCAGCTTGTGGGAACTGATGGCTTGATTTCTGAGATGGACGGTTTAGATATATTTCTTTTGAAGCACATAAATCTTGAATTGAAAACCCTCTATCTGCCATAATTTCGTGTTCTTTGTCAACTAGTTCTAAAATATGAGATTGTTCTATTAATTCATTATCTGTGATAGAACCAGGATATATGTCTCCAAAAAGCAAACCTGATCCATGTGGAGAGATTCCAATTAAAGCTTTCCTGTTGTACAGTTTTTATAACTTGAAAACATTAAAGTGTTTAGGTCATAATTGCTTGGTTGTTGAAATTTAAATTCAGTAGCATCCACGACAATATCGGTTTCACCATGCCCAGTTTTTTTAAAAACAGAAGGCATCATCAAGGAAATATAAGTGCTTTCAACCTTTAAATTTACCTCTGAAAATATCGCGTCTATAAATACAACCCACCCAGTGAAAATACGATACATGGTGGTTTCAGCAACACCCACCATAAATCCAATAACACCAAGATGAAGTGCATGTCTACACAATGTTAAAACTGAAAACAACTCAGTTTTCTTATCAAGGAATCTGATTCCTGTACCTTTACAATCTGGATATTCAATTAAGTGACAGTATGGATCTACACAATTATATAAGAGTTCAAATTGCTTGATAGATAGACCACATAAATATTAAAATTGCTTTGGTTTGTCTTTAAGTTTGGAATATATAAACATTCCTTTTTCGAATTTGTCCAGTTTTTTGTTTAAAATTTGATTTCTTACAGATAAACTTAAATATTTTTTATGTAATATGTAGTTCTTTACTTTGTTTACTTTTTTTTCACTTTTAAGTTGTTTTATATAGTTGTTTGCGTTGTTTAGTTTTTCTTGAAGAATTTCATAAGCATCTGCTCCTTTTTTTAATTTAGATAACAACTGTTGTTTAGTTGGTTTACGTAATGATAAAGGAGGTTTCGTAACATAAACAGATCGGTTTGTGGGTTTTTTACGAACAAGACAAGGTTTAGACAAAGATATCATCATATCAAGCTTACGTTTCAACCTTTTCAAATTTTTTTTTTCAGCTTCAGTCGCTTTTTGTGATGTAGTCATTTTGGTCAGAGCATTTGTGTATTTTCGTTTCATTATAGCAATTTGGCTTGGTGGTGCAGCTATGTCTGGAATATCAGTGCATAACTCTCTAATTCCAGATGAAAAATGTTCCCAACAAAAATGCCCATTTTTGAAATTCATTCCTTTTGTATGTAAAATTCGAATATATTCTTTCTGTAAAGAAACATCTTTAGGAAGCCTGTAAAACTTAATACGTTCTCCGTTAGTAGTTTTGCTTCTAAAGTTATTAAAACATAATGATGGGCTACAAAACCAGTGAACCATTGATTTAAGTAATACAATAAATTAATTTGATAACTTATTATAATATTTAATATCTTGTTAGTTTATAGTTAATAATAGTTTTTTTTTTTTTTTTTTTTTTATAGTTACATTATAAATAATAGTTACATTACCGCTAACTTATTTTTGTAACTTAAATAAAATGAACCTTTGTTTTGATTTTTATAAATTTTTTTACTATTTTTTTTAGTTGTTTAATCGAGAAAAAACGCATAATCTAGAAACCATATCTGATTGGCTAGAATTTTGTCCCAACAGGCAATATTCGCTAAGTTAAACCGCGTCGTATGAAATTGGCTAATTCTCTAAGGAATTGTATCTCAAAGCGCAGTTAAAATTCCAGTTTCTAGCATATTAAACCAAAAGGTCCTTGTAGCCCTTTGAAAGTACTTGTGTTGTATTAACATGTTTGAAACAACGTGTTTCAGAAAGTCACTTTGGTACCGGTACGTGTTTACTCAAATTGACGAGAAGAATATGCCAGCGATGTGTTGATGCACTGAAAAACGTATATACATTTTAAACAAAATCAAAATATTTCACAGTAGCTGGACAACAATCAACATCACTGCTTCCTACTAAATTTATTAATTGTGCAAAACACGGTATAAATATAGCGAGTGGATTCAGCCTTTGAATATTTGCTCGAACTTCATTATATCAACCAGACATATTTGTATTGTTATAGGTCTGACCACGATAGTTATTGATATCTATACCATTATCATCTAAATAAGACAGTAGTATTCTTGCTAGTTCTTGACCAGTATGGGTTTATAAATTACTAAATGTTAGGAACCTTTTTATAGGCACAGTTTTATTTACATACCGAACTGTAACAGACAATAGGTCAACTTGTGATGTATTAGGTGTTGACTCAATTAAAACACTGTAATATTTTGCTTCCTTCATTTCATTAACTATACAAGTTAGCACTGCTTGATCCATTAAAGCAATAAGTTCTTCACAAATAGTTGATGACAAGTATGATACATTCCCCTGCCCTGCATTTCCTTTTTTACTATATGTATTGCTAGAAATGGATCATACTTTGCCACTACCTCTGAAATACCCATGAAATTACCATTTTCATGTGAACCAAACTTTTCTACATGACCTCGAAATGGCAAATCCCTTGCAGTCAAAAACTTAATATCATCTACCACGCGCTCCTAAAATGATCTTCAAAAATTTGTTTGACTCTTAACTCCTTCATAAATGATATCAACCTTTCCAGCCAATTGCTATTGCTCTGTGTAAGTCAGAGTTGCTGCTAAGTAGCACAGACTCTTCTCATGCATTTCAATGACGCGTTTGGCCTTCTTACAATAATTGAACCCATGGCATAAATCTGTTTGAGTAGATGAGAGAAACTTACAAATAATACAAATAAAAAAATTATCAGCACTTCCTTTCCTGATGAAGTAATCTTGTACATAGGATATAGGATTGATATGTGTCCTGATATTCTTTTTCGGGTTGATTATTAATTTGCTTGACAGCAACAATGGCATTAGTAAGTAATAAAGTATCAATTTTAGACTACGATTCTACTAATGGAACTGCATTCCCAGTCAACGCATGAGATCAACATGATAATAATATGATATCAAAAATTTCTCATGCTGCGATATCAAATAATCATCTCAATATGATATTATATAATTTTCATAACCATAGATAAATAAATTCAAGTATGGTTGTGATATCATCATGAGATAAAATTGAAATTACGACTTGATATCAAACCATGAGAAACTTTTGATATCTAAATAACATCACATTGATATCAATTTTTGACAAAACACTACAAACTCGAGTTTGTAGTGTTTTGTCAAAAAAATCAAAACCTCAAAAACGTAATCTCAATATGATCTCATGGTAGGGCTTGGCAAAAACCAAAAAATATCAAAAAACCGGTTTTCGGTTCTTTTATTATTGCCGTATAAATCCAATGTAACATACAAGATTGATATACTGAAATTAGATCTGTAAACTAAAAGGAAATATTTCATACTTAAGAAAGTTTTTTATTCTTAAAATAACAAATTTAATTTTTTTCAATAAAAATTTAAAATTAATTTTTTTCAATGTACAGTTATATTTACATCTTTTTTTATTCATTATTAATTTAGTTCGAATCTAATGAACTTGAATTATTTTTTCTTGTATGTCTCTTTTTTCTATTACAACCCTTTTTTTTTTGTGACAACTCAATATAGGTATGCGGAAATCCTTGTTTTATGGAACCGAATTTTGTGCTAAAATTTTGTGCCAGGTTTTTTGAAATTTTTTTTTAGGTAACGTCAGGCAAACGTTTTTTTGTGGTGTTTCTGTTTAGAAACATTACTAAACTTAGATTATTTTCGAAAAAAAGAATAGTTAAGCTTGATTAATATATAACATTTATGTGTGGTTGGTAATTTTTGTATAGCTTTTATTTGTATTAAAAACTTGGTTGTTGTTCTCACATTAAATTATTGTCGAAGAAATGCTCAGATAGTTTGCAAACCTACCCAGATAGTTTTTTATATATATTTTTTATCTACATACCTAAATTTCATTAAAAAGTATTATTGAGCAGATAATTATTGTATATTTTTACTAGTTTATTTTATTTTAAAAGTGAAAACTACCATTTATTTTAGTGTGACTTGTTTATAGTTTCTAAAAATTTATTGGTTTCATTGAAATTGAAAACATAAGTGTTGATTACTATAATTCTAGCTATAGGTATGCATGGTATTTTAAAAACAATTTTTCCTTTTTATAAAAACATTTGCAATGTATATTTTAAATTTTCTTTATATCATCACATATTTTATGATGTCAGTATATAATGGCATTTTTGTCTGTTTGCATAAATAGTATTTTTTAATTACGCAAAAATACAGTATTATTAAAAATGTTTTTAATAATACAAGTATAATACTGTTTATAATTTAATGTTATATTATTATTCGGTAGTTATACAAGACTTTCTTTACAATTTTTTTAGACGGCAATGGGCACAAAAAGCAACTTTATTTTTTGTTTGTAGTACAGTTAAAGAGTATTTAGATCCACACTTCTTATTACCTGTCAAAACTTGGAGTTTTTGTAAAAAAAGACATGTACCTTTTTTGTTCATTAACAGTGGTAAGTCATTTATTATAACTATTATTTAGTTTAGGTATTTGTAAACCACAAATCTTTAGTGTTTTGAAAAGATGCAAAAGTTGGTTTTGCAACTTTACAAGGGATAGTAATCATTTTAAGGAATTTTGCAATGAACCATGTAAATGCATTCCAACATCTTGCCCGCCTTTTCATTATCAAGTCCTAATCCAAGTAGTTCTCTTACTACTGTTTTAAGTAGTTTAGATAATTCATCACTTGCACATAAGTAATTTATCACAACTAAATAACAAGCCTTTATTTTCCAAACATTCTGTTAGCAATGAATTGCCATGAATCAAGAGGAGAAATGAGCCCTAGAAAAAAAAGGTTTGAATAACAGATTGTATTATTTAACTTCTCAGCTGTCACATTCAGCATGCATTGAAAAAATTAGTAATAGTGATGGCAAAATTTAAAAGCATGCCATACAAATTGAATGTGCTGAGACAAAAAATTACATAAAAGAAACAAATTATTAAAGTTTTGAGAGCTGAAATTAGATCTTAAACAAAAGTTGTAAACGTATTATTACAGTAAGATAATACGCAATCTTAAAGCTTAAAAAAAAGGCAATGAAAATTTCAGAACTTTTAAAGCTAAAATAAGTTAAAATTGTACATAATAAAGATATTAAGGCAAATAAAATGCTGATAGCTAGTTACGAATATTTGCCTCATATATGTAAAGTAATTGATCATCTAGCTTTTATTTAGATTTTCACTTAGCTTCTTTTAATGATAGTCATCAATGAATCATCTCAAATATATCAAACGCAATGTCAGGCAAAGTTACCGTTAACCATCTTACCCAGCGGGCACGGCAACGTCCATATGACGTCGAAAGGACGTCCAGAACTGGTTCTAAATGGCAATGCCAGATGACGTCTTTTTAAGACGTCTTTTAAGGACGGAATAAAGACGTGTTTTGAGACGTCAAAAAGACGTGAATTTAGGACGTTCAGAACTAGTGCTTAATGGAAACGCCGAATGACGTCTTTATATAACCTAATTTAGACGTTCTTTTTTCGACGTCTAAAATACGTGATCTAACACGGCTTTACTTAAACGTAAGATTTAAATTTATGTTTTCACAGAACTTCTTGAGAATAAGAAAAAAAAAAAAATCATTTAAACTTTTTAATAATATAATAATAAATTACAACTTTGTAAACTTCTTCTTCCACTTGTTAATTTCCAAGCATCGAATTTTCGAACAGTTGACGTCATTTACCTTCTTTTCGATCAGATGCACTTTTTAAAATATTGTCACCAGCATTTTGAAGTTTTTTTTTGCTATAGGAATCAGGAAAGCAGTCTTAACCTTAAAAAAATATTGTTAAGAAAAGTATGTAAAAATAAAGGGGAAAGAAATAAATAACACACACACATATATATAATTATTATTTTATAAACATAACATCAAACATCAAAAAATACGAATTTCTCAACAATAAATTTATTTTTTTAAAGAAATTTTTGACTGGATTGTTGTGACCAGCGTATATATTTATGTATATCCTATTGGGCATAGGAGCAATTCAATAGTGTTTTATTCAATTCAAAAACTTTGTGTAAATTATGTTTATTTGTAAAGTGAGCATTATGTATATAATTACAGATCAAAATTTTTTATGTAATTTACCCTTATAAAAAAAAACTAAACATTTAACCATAATAAAAAATATACTACTTTTTGCAGCATTAGTATCGAGAAATGATTGATCACAGAAACTTGGCGATACTTCAAGAAACTTGGCGATAGAATCATACTAGTAAAGATCAAAACTATTCTCAACTTTAAACGTTTTTTATATTTCATTATTCTT